TATGTTATCTAAACTGAAACTATTTTTTTTATTGTTTTGTTTACCAATTTAAGTTCGATGTTTGCTATTGTTGTATCCTCATTGCGTTCTATCATTTTCAGCTGAAACCAGTTTAACCAGTTATAGTGGCGATCAGACTGTCAATGAAGGTTCAAATCTAACTTTGTTTTGTGACGCAACTGGTAAACCAACTCCAAACGTTACTTGGACCAGAGTATTAAAGAATGGTACAGATGGTGATGTAGTGTTCCTTGGGAACCCGTGGATTATTGTAAACATAAGCAGAACTGCTACTGAAACATACCGCTGTACAGCTTACAATGGAATTAGAAATCCAGTCAACCAGTCACTTCATATCAATGTTAACTGTAAGTACAGGCATGTACCCTTTAGTTAATATTTATACTTTTTTTTCCTCAGTGCGCGAGCTGGCAAATTGCAAGAAATCCTGCAATTTGATTGGTTCCGTGAGCTGGCGCAATTTTCCCATCCGCCCGGCTTACACTTAGCATCCTACGCAGACGATCTTTGGGCTCGTCACGCAGTCTTCCTCCGTTACGAACGTATACTGAAACAAACAGCACATTCCTTCCCTTTGATCGTAAAGATCAGTTGAAGATAATGTGGAAATTACTTTTCAATCAAAAAGCGCCGGCTCATTGTGTAATAAAAAGCCAATCATGAGGGTGTTCTCTTAGCTTGGGGCGATAACTACAACGCCTACTGTTGTGTTCAACGCTTTCAAAGTTAACATGACTCAAAAATGCAATTTCTCGAATCCAGTTTAAGTTCGTAGAAAAACGAACTCTTCATCTTTTTCAGCTTGAAGTACATTATAGTTTCTCGGGGGGCATTTAAACATAATATTGTGAATGTCTCACACGCTCGTTGAAAGGCCACGCTAGTATCTCGGTGTCTTGCGATCATCTCTTAAGTTCCAAGCACACTTCTAACCAAACGAAAGTCTGCGTACGACCACGTCCATCTCTACAGCTTTTTGCTGATTTAAAACAACTGTTTTAATATCCACACACTCGTTGAAAGACCACGCTGTATCCGTTGAATTAGGGCGCGTTCCATTCGACCAAAACGTCCGGAAATTCCGGTTCAAAAACGAATGGAAACGAAAGTTTCCAGAAACTCGTTTCAAAAATTTCAGTCAACATCTCGAGGTTGTCCCTTTTCCCGGAATATGGAAATTCCCGTAATTTTCTGTTTCATTTGGAATTTTTACGCGGTATGAATCGGCCCTAGTTTCTCTAGCCGTGAACGATACGTCGACCAAGGCTACAAGATTGCGGCCAGTGGACACAACACCAGATGCAAAACAAGCCGTTACATATCAAAAAGGTTTTGGGATAATTTTACTGTTTTATTTTTAGCTGGTATGCTGATCCAGAGTAATCCATCCTTTTATTAGCTATGATTTGGTTAGTGTAATAACTCTTTTGGCATATTATGTAATTGAAGTAGTTACAGTGGTGAAATGAACTACTCACAACAGATTTAGCAAAGGAAATTCCTTTATTGCTCGCTTCATTTCACATGTAAATAGAAATTATCTTTTCTCTACAGATAAACCAGACACAGTTACCTTGGTAACTAACACAACTGAGAACAAAGACTGTTCTGATTTGTGGGTGAATTTCACGTGCATCTCATCTGAAGCAAATCCACCAGTTCATAATTATCTGCTTTCTGATGATGAAGATGGATTCAATTTTAGCAAGAGTGGAACATGGATAAAGAAGATATCAAGAGGAGGAAAGTCTATTTTCAACTGCATAGCATATCAACTTGTGGAGAATGTAACAAGCACAAACAATATTACCCTGACTGTAAATGGTAAGTGAATTAATTTTGTTAAACGGCATTTAATTAAATCGTCATTATCGTACATTTCCTTTACATACGAACATCATCTGTACACCATATTTACAGCAGTAATTCAATTACTTTTTGCCGCAGTCTAGTCACAACCATAATTTCAGTTTAGCAAGACTCAAATTTCGATCCATCTAGTGTTGGTTTATTCATCACGTTACAGAACCGAGAAATTTTAACGTGTCGCGTTGTTGTTTTGCAGCATCACTTACGCTTTCATAATTATTCTGTACACTCATCTGGCTACATTAAAGTGTATCTAAAGATAGTTTTCTATCTGCTTGATGGAACCTACACGAGACTGTGATATGGAAATCGAAAAATAAAATTGCATTTTCGTTGTAACCCAGGGTTTTAATCGAATGATAAAAGGAACATTCCGGTTGGTCAGAGACCGTGGGAGGTAGTGAGCTGGGGCCAGTAAGGCCGTGTTGTCAAAAGAAGAACTAGATTGATAGTTTTCGAACCAAACAGATATAAACGAAAACGTAAGTGAAATTTACCAGGAATTAGACACTCTTGCGACACCTAATTTTGATTAAAAGTTTACCAAAGATACGTAGACCTACATGTAAAGGTACGTTCTTATTTGACGTCACAGCCATTCTCGTCCCCAGAGGCCGCGCTCCTTTTGGTCAGCACCAAGAATCGCAACCTCTGGCCAGACCCGATTTTCTGAGCGTGCGCAGAGTATTCCTCTGGTATTCTCAGCAAATCAGATTTGTCAGATTTGACGGCAAGTCCGTGAATCGCGGACTTCCGGTGTTGGACAAGCCCAGAGGTCGCGATCCTTGGTGCTGACCAAAAGGAGCGCGGCCTCTGAGGACGAGAATGCGTCACAGCCTGACTAGTCCTAGGCTCCAACCCCCGCGGTTTCTGACCCAGTTGGAAGTGAAATTTCAAGTTTTTAGATGGTTAAAACGCGGTGAAAAGATATACATTGCTTTTTCGACTTCCATATCATGGTCTTGTGTAGATTCAATTAGGGAAATAAAAAATATATATATTTCATATACAATCAAAAAAACCCTGCCAGTTTTAATGAATTTTCATTTTTGTCCTAGTTCCAGTAGCTATGATTCAATTACAGAATAAAATTGTCAGGGAAGGCGGCAATGTGGAACTGTACTGTGATGCAACTGGAAGTCCTGATCCAACTGTTATCTGGACAAAAGTGCAGGGTGGTGGCTATAACCCCACCGGGGGAAAATTACTGAACATCACCAACATCACCAGAACTCAAGCTGGAGAATACAGGTGCACTGCAAACAACACTTGTGGAGTGTATTTTATAGTGTTTTTCATTGATGTTCTGTGTAAGAATATTATCTTTTCAATATCTATAAAAGCACTTGTAGTCTTAAGATAAACACATTGTTGTAACTTAATTTAGTTGGAGCTGTTTAGGTTCATGAAAACTGGGATACGGTAAATGGAATTCGGCTGCTGGGTTGAGTTTCACCGACACAGTTTAAATTAATTTCCTAAAGGGTTTTCGTTACAGCAGCAGAAAACCTCTATTGAGGGATTATAGCCATTGAAATAAATTACAATTTAAATAATTACTATTTAAATTATAAGAAATGTTCTAATGAAAATAACAAAGTGGAGAATAAGAAACATAACAATTAAAGAAAAAAATACTTAAGAATAACATGTACTCTGGGATGTATTTTCCACTTCCAAAAGTGTGAAATACTGGAAGATCTTTCTGGTAGGTGCATAAATCGAGTATTTTTTTTGAAGCCACATAACATGTGAATGTTGAAAATAAGGCGCTACGCTGTTTTGCTAAGCACCAGCTTAATGGGTCACCAGACTTGAATGCAGACTTTACTGTACTTTACCTTAGAGTTTCCCTAACATAGAAAACTCACATACAAAATATTCTTTTTCGTTTTGTTTTCTAGATCTTGTTGTAAGTACCAGCCTGATAGGTCACCGAATGCCAAATGCATGCAAAAAAAAAATGTAAATGTAAATTATATTTATAGTAGTCATGCTCCTAGCTATACAAGCACTAAGCTTAGCTAGTTTACAGGCATACCTTTGAAACAAAGGAAACAAATATTTAAAAAAA